TCCCTCACTTCGTCTCATTGCCCTTTCATCTCCTCCTACGGGTTTCTCTTCCTGTCCATTACTTTCTATTCTCTTTATATTTCTTCTATTGTACTCCTGCCTGGTCCAGTCCAATCTTCTATTCCATCTCCCCTTTCCCCTCTTCTTTCCCCCTCTTCCTTCCCTCCCCCCCTTCCTTCCCTCCCCCCCCTTCCTTCCCTCCCCACCACCACACCACCCTCCACCACACAGTTAAAGCTGCCAGGGTTCTAGTAAAGTATATTTCAGCTGCACTTTACCATATATTTTTGACCCCTTTGGTTTTTTGGTCCAAACTTGTGTGTGTGTGTGTGTGTGTGTGTGTGTGTGTGTGTGTGTGTGTGTGTGGTGTGTGTGTGTTAGGAGGCCGGGAGGTCTGCCAGAGGCTTGCAGAAGACACAGGAACTATCACGAAGGAAAGCGCCAAGCCATTACGACTATAGAGCACCGGAAACGGGTCCAAAAAAAAGGCTTTATGATGGGACGGGGGGGGGGGGAAAGGAATGGTGCCCCAAGCACTTGGTGGAGGGTCGGGGATTGAGCCCCGGCCCTGCATGAAGTGGTTGGGCGGGTGTCGTAACAAGTGTGAGGTAACAAGCCTGACAGTGGTTCTCGTTGAACAGAGGAACAGCAGTTCGCCTGGCGAGAAGTACCGGCCCAGGTCGCGGACGCCGGACGACCACGACGCCAAGCGACGGAAGGACGACAAGGGCCACGACTCCGACGGTGAGAAGAGTGACCAGGACCTGGTCGTTGACGTCGCTAACGAGGTCAGTCTTCCCGGCTCCTGTGTTGACCCTAGCCACCCCCCCCCTCCTTTGTTGACCCTAGCCACCCCCCCTCCTTTGTTGACCCTAGCCACCCCCCCTCCTTTGTTGACCCTAGCCACCCTCCCTCCTTTGTTGACCCTAGCCACCCTCCCTCCTTTGTTGACCCTAGCCACCCTCCCCTTTGTTGACCCTAGCCCCTCCTCCTTGTTGACCCTAGCCACCCTCCCCCCTCCTCCTTGTTGACCCTAGCCACCCTCCCTCCTGTGTTGACCCTAGCCACCCTCCCTCCTTTGTTGACCCTAGCCACCCTCCCTCCTTTGTTGACCCTAGCCATCCCTCTTTGTTGAACCTCCCTCCTCTTGTTGACCCTAGCCACCCTCCCTCCTTGTTGACCCTAGCCCCCTCCCTCCTGTGTTGACCCTAGCCTCCCTCCTTTGTGGACCCTAGCCACCCCCCTCCTGTGTTGACCCTAGCCACCCCTCCTGTGTTGACCCTAGCCACCCTCCCTCCTTTGTGACCCTAGCCACCCTCCCTCCTTTGTTGACCCTAGCCACCCTCCTCTGTGTGACCCTAGCCACCCTCCCTCCTTTGTTGACCCTAGCCACCCCCCCTCCTTTGTTGTTGACCCTAGACCCACGGCCCTCCCTCCTTTGTTGACCCTACCTAGCCACCCTCCCTCCTGTGTTGACCCTAGCCAACCCTCCCTCCTTTGTTGACCCTAGCCAACCTCCATCCTTTGTTGACCCTAGCCACCCTCCTCCTATGTTGACCCTAAGCACCCTCCCTACTTGTGACCTAGCCACCCCATCTTTGTTGACCCTAGCCACCCACTATGTGATAGCCAACCTCCCTCCTTTGTGACCCTAGCCACCTCCTCCTTTGTGACCCTAGCACCCTCCTCCTGTGGTTGACCCTAGCCACACTCCCTCCTGTGTTGACCCTAGCCACCCCCCCTCCTTTGTTGACCCTAGCCACCCTCCCTCCTTGTTGACCCTAGCCACCCTCCCTCCTTTGTTGACCCTAGCCACCCCACCCCTCCTTTGTTGACCCTAGCCACCCTCCTCCTTGTTGACCCTAGCCACCCTCCCTCCTTTGTTGACCCTAGCCACCCCCCCTCCCTCCTGTGTGACCCTAGCCACCCTCCCTCCTGTGTTGACCCTAGCCACCCTCCCTCCTGTGTTGACCCTAGCCACCCTCCCTCCTTTGTTGACCCTAGCCACCCTCCCTCCTTTGTTGACCCTAGCCACCCTCCCTCCTTTGTTGACCCTAGCCACCCTCCCTCCTTTGTTGACCCTAGCCACCCTCCCTCCTTTGTTGACCCTAGCCACCCTCCCTCCTTGTTGACCCTAGCCACCCTCCCTCCTTTGTTGACCCTAGCCACCCTCCCTCCTTTGTTGACCCTAGCCACCCTCCCTCCTTTGTTGACCCTAGCCACCTCCCTCCTTTGTTGACCCTAGCCACCCTCCCTCCTTTGTTGACCCTAGCCACCCTCCCTCCTTTGTTGACCCTAGCCACCCTCCCTCCTTTGTTGACCCTAGCCACCCTCCCTCCTTTGTTGACCCTAGCCACCCTCCCTCCTTTGTTGACCCTAGCCACCCTCCCTCCTTTGTTGACCCTAGCCACCCTCCCTCCTTTGTTGACCCTAGCCACCCTCCCTCCTTTGTTGACCTAGCCACCCTCCCTCCTTTGTTGACCCTAGCCACCCTCCCTCCTTTGTTGACCCTAGCCACCCTCCCTCCTTTGTTGACCCTAGCCACCCTCCCTCCTTTGTTGACCCTAGCCACCCTCCCTCCTTTGTTGACCCTAGCCACCCTCCCTCCTTTGTTGACCCTAGCCACCCTCCCTCCTTTGTTGACCCTAGCCACCCTCCCTCCTTGTTGACCCTAGCCACCCTCCCTCCTTTGTTGACCCTAGCCACCCTCCCTCCTTTGTTGACCCTAGCCACCCTCCTCCTTGTTGACCCTAGCCACCCCCCTCCTTTGTTGACCCTAGCCCCCTCCCTCCTTTGTTGACCCTAGCCACCCTCCCTCCTTTGTTGAACCTAGCCACCCTCCCTCCTTTGTTGAACCTAGCCACCCTCCCTCCTTTGTTGACCCTAGCCACCCTCCCTCCTTTGTTGACCCTAGCCACCCCCCCTCCTTTGTTGACCCTAGCCACCCTCCCTCCTTTGTTGACCCTAGCCACCCTCCCTCCTTTGTTGACCCTAGCCACCCTCCCTCCTTTGTTGACCCTAGCCACCCTCCCTCCTTTGTTGACCCTAGCCACCCTCCCTCCTTTGTTGACCCTAGCCACCCTCCCTCCTTTGTTGACCCTAGCCACCCTCCCTCCTTTGTTGACCCTAGCCACCCTCCCTCCTTTGTTGACCCTAGACCCCACCCTCCCTCCTTTGTTGACCCTAGCCACCCTCCCTCCTTTGTTGACCCTAGCCACCCTCCCTCCTTTGTTGACCCTAGCCACCCTCCCTCCTTTGTTGACCCTAGCCACCCTCCCTCCTTTGTTGACCCTAGCCACCCTCCCTCCTTTGTTGACCCTAGCCACCCTCCCTCCTTTGTTGACCCTAGCCACCCTCCCTCCTTTGTTGACCCTAGCCACCCTCCCTCCTTTGTTGACCCTAGCCACCCTCCCTCCTTTGTTGACCCTAGCCACCCTCCCTCCTTTGTTGACCCTAGCCACCCTCCCTCCTTTGTTGACCCTAGCCACCCTCCCTCCTTTGTTGACCCTAGCCACCCTCCCTCCTTTGTTGACCCTAGCCACCCTCCCTCCTTTGTTGACCCTAGCCACCCTCCCTCCTTTGTTGACCCTAGCCACCCTCCCTCCTTTGTTGACCCTAACCACCCTCCCCTTTGTTGACCCTAGCCACCCTCCCTCCTTTGTTGACCCTAGCCACCCTCCCTCCTTTGTTGACCCTAGCCACCCTCCCTCCTTTGTTGACCCTAGCCACCCTCCCTCCTTTGTTGACCCTAGCCACCCTCCCTCCTTTGTTGACCCTAGCCTCCCTCCTCCTTGTTGACCCTAGCCACCCTCCCTCCTTTGTTGACCTAGCCACCCTCCCTCCTTTGTTGACCCTAGCCACCCTCCCTCCTTTGTTGACCCTAGCCACCCTCCCTCCTTTGTTGACCCTAGCCACCCTCCCTCCTTTGTTGACCCTAGCCACCCTCCCTCCTTTGTTGACCCTAGCCACCCTCCCTCCTTTGTTGACCCTAGCCACCCTCCCTCCTTTGTTGACCCTAGCCACCCTCCCTCCTTTGTTGACCCTAGCCACCCTCCCTCCTTTGTTGACCCTAGCCACCCCCCCTCCTGTGTTGATCCTAGCCACCCTCCCTCCCGTGTTAACCCTAGCCACTTCCCCCTACGTTAGCCCTAATCTGTTTTAAAAAAATAAGTAAATTTCTGGAGCTTATTTTATTGAAATGTAAATATATTTTGTGATTTGAACTTGACAAAATAATGACTTTAGAGAGTATATCACGCTTGGATTTTTGTGGTTGGTGTGTGGGGGGGGGGTTAGTGTACATGTGTGTGGTTGGTGTGTGGGGTAGTATACATGTGTGTGTGTGGGGTAGTATACATGTGTGTGTGTGGGGTAGTATACATGTGTGTGTGTGGGGTAGTATACATGTGTGTGTGTGGGGTAGTATACATGTGTGTGTGTGTGGGGTAGTATACATGTGTGTGTGTGGGGTAGTATACATGTATTGAGTATTGAGCTACGAGGAAAGGCTAAAGGAGCTGAACCTCACATCCCTGGAAAACAGAAGAGTAAGGGGAGACATGATAACCACCTACAAAATTCTCAGGGGAATTGACAGGGTGGACAAAGACAAACTCTTCAGCACGGGTGGGACACGAACAAGGGGACACAGGTGGAAACTTAGTACCCAGATGAGCCACAGAGACGTTAGAAAGAATTTTTTCAGTGTCAGAGTAGTTAATAAATGGAATGCACTAGGAAGTGATGTGGTGGAGGCTGACTCCATACACAGTTTCAAATGTAGGTATGATAGAGCCCAGTAGGCTCAGGAATCTGTACACCAGTTGATTGACAGTTGAGAGGCGGGACCAAAGAGCCAAAGCTCAACCCCCGCAAGCACAATTAGGTGAGTACAATTAGGTGAGTACATGTGTGTGTGTGGGGTAGTATACATGTGTGTGTGTGTGTGTGTGGTGAAGTACTACAACATGTGGTCATAACTCCCCCCTCCCCCCTACAGGACCCCCACACACCGCCCCAGGCCAATGGTGACCACAGAGACCTGAGAGAGAACGGAGAGAAGAAGCCTGAAAGACCGCCCTCTCAGTCCTCCTCCTCCCGCTCCACGCCTCAGCTCAAGCATGAGAAGGTAAGTCTGATCTTCCTCCTGCTACTGCTTCCCAAGTACAACTTCGGTTTCAACTCTTTTGACCATGTCGTAGCTCAGTCGATTAAGGCAGCGTTTGGGGAACTCCCGGACGTAGGTTCGAATCCTCGTCACGGCCCTTGTGGATTTGTTCATTTGATGCATCAGGCTATTGTGATTTCTGTGTGTAGTTCTGCTTTTAGTCTGTGTTGACGAGGTCAGATTATCCCCACTGATGTGTTTAGTTTATTTGCTTCTATAATGTTTCCAATATATGTTTAATGTGTGTTATATTACTGTTAGAACGCCAGTATAGTTTGCTACACTTTGAGTTTTATTGTAAAGAAATTGGTCAACTCTGAAGTATTTTATTTATAATTTTTAAGTCGCAAATAAATCTGTCAAGAAAGACACGTTGCCAACTAGTATTTTTTGTCTGAAAACTAAAACTTAATCAGATTAAATGAATACATCATGAGGAAGGTGAATACATCATTTGCGAAAGTGAATACATCATGGGGAAAGTGAATACATCATGGAAAAGGTGAATACAGCAACCCGTCCTCTTAAAAATAACGTCACTTTTGGCTCGTATGCGCGCTATGGCAAAATTTGGACGTAATTTAAAATGAAATCGACTCACAAAAGTGACGTACTGTTCCGTTTTCTGTTTGAGTTGTCCGGCCTACTCGGTAAGGTTAGAAGAGGAAACGTTCAATTAACGTTTTTCATAACGTTTTGAAACTTTAGGAGAAATTCCTGCCCTCCTAACCTATCAGAGGACCCTTAACTTACTGTTGTTGAAACACAATCCCAAATTTATTTTCATTTTCAAATTATGTCCAATTTCAGCCATACCGGTAAAGGGCCAAAAGCGACGTTATTTTTAAGAGGACAGGTTGGTAATTGAAAGTGAATACATCATGGGGAAGTATATACAAAATAAATTATATAATTTCAAGGAATATAGATGAAGATTTGTGACTGCACCACTTTGCTGGAAAATTCGAACGTAAATGAAAAATTGTTTAGTTTTTCAATAAAATCTCCGTTAAGTTTGTATTCGAGTATGACGACATGCTCACACAGTACACAATACGTTTAACATTGTATTGAGGGTGCTCTAAAAAAAAGTTAGTTTTTAATGAGAAGTTTTTTAGTACAAAAAAATAAATAACCGTTATTTATTTCTTTGAATATATGTGTGTGTATATATATATATATATATATATATATATATATGTATATATGTGTGCGTGCTATATATATATATATATATATATATATATATATATATATATATATATATATATATATATATATATATATATATATATATATATATATATATATATATATATATAATAAAGTCAGACCACGGAGGAAAATGAAACAGGAATTTCCTTAAGTACTTTCGTATATTAAATACATCTTCAGAAGAAATGATTCCTTCTGAAGATGTATTTAATATACGAAAGTACTTAAGGAAATTCCTGTTTCATTTTCCTCCGTGGTCTGACATTGTCACATTCTTAATCACGTGTTTATTTTCGTGATATACACACATATATATAAAATATGGTATAATATGGTATATAGTCACATGCATGTGTAAAATGTGTTGTGATAGCTGTGCCTGTGGCGGACTTTCCCCTGCATGGTGTGTTACACCTTGGCTGCTGGACTAGACTGGCTTGGTAATGTCTCCCATAATATCCACACATTAAATATATTGTGGAGAATGTGAGTGTGTGTGTGTGTGTGTGTGTTGCTTGTGTTAGTGTGCAGACCTCCTGCAGGGGGGCGCTGGCGTGCTCTGTCTCCCCCAGGCAAGCCTTTCTTTTATTATTATTATTATTTTTTGTTGTTGCTTGTTCTGTTGTGTTCCCGCCCCTCATTTTGTTTTGTTTGTTTTTGTTCTGTGTTTTGCAGGGTGACCCTCGTTCCACCCCCACGTCCAAGTCTGGTGGGGGGAGTTGTGCCCCCTCTGCGCCCCCTGGTTCCTCCGGTGTCAAACCTCCCGGGGTGCACCCTGGGGGTGCCGGGCCACCCCCTCACTTTCCCCCCTCCCCTTACCTACCCCCTGGCGTTGGTGGCCCCCGACCTGACCTGCCCCCGGGCCCGCCCCGTCCTGACCTCCCGCCCTCTGCTGCCTACCCCCCAGGACACGCTAACAACTACCTCCGGCCTCCGGTAAGTAGAAGCACACCCTCGCCACTAGAGACCCATCCACACTTCCTGCTCCTCACCTTCTTGGGTTGCCCTAACTTACCTCTCTTGTCTATATTGTATAGTGACCCTAAACCAAATAAAGCATACCGTCCTCTGCATAGCTTTCACTATACATTGTAGTTTTTTGCTTGTAATGTTAGCTGCACCACTTAACTGCTTGGTGTTGTGTGGCTGTACCATAACATTTATACTGTGTTTCCAGTCTATAGTTGAGTGTGAGAGTGTATCATTATGGTATCTCCGCAGGTATCCGGCTATGATCCCCACAGTGCTGTTAGGGCCCCGACGCTGGCCTCCAATGGCATTCCCACCAATGGCTCTGCTGGCAAGCCGTAAGTGTATATCAAATTAAATATAATTTGTTGTAGCTGATCACATGAACAGCCATGTTGCCATACATATACAGTATGTAATATACCCTGTATATTTATTTTGGCCACTCAGTTGAAGTTTGACCTGATGTATATTTTTATAGGGCGTACAGCTTCCACGTGAACGGTGAGGGTCAACTGGCGCCAGTTCCATTCCCCTCAGATGCGTTGTTGGCGTCGGGTATACCACGACACGCTCGTCAGATCAACACCCTGCATCATGGTGAGGTGGTGTGCGCCGTCACCATCAGCAACCCCACCAAGTACGTCTACACGGGCGGCAAGGGCTGTGTCAAGGTGTGGGACATCAGTCAACCCGGCTCCAAGACGCCCGTCTCTCAGCTCGACTGCCTTCAACGAGATAACTACATCCGTTCTGTCAAGCTTCTACCTGACATGCGGACGCTTATAGTGGGTGGGGAGGCTTCCACGTTAAGTATCTGGGACTTGGCAACACCGACGCCGAGAATCAAAGCCGAGTTGATATCATCTGCACCAGCATGCTACGCCTTGGCCATTAGTCCGGACTCCAAGGTGTGCTTCAGCTGTTGTAGTGACGGTAACATTGCCGTGTGGGACTTGCACAATCAGACTCTTGTGAGACAGTTCCAGGGACACACAGACGGTGCCTCGTGCATTGATATTTCACCTGATGGCACAAAATTGTGGACAGGCGGCCTTGACAACACCGTGAGGTCGTGGGACCTACGGGAGGGTCGTCAGTTGCAACAACACGACTTTACCAGTCAGATCTTCTCCCTGGGTTACTGTCCCACTGGCGAGTGGCTCGCTGTAGGAATGGAGAGTTCTAATGTGGAAGTTCTGCACGTGAACAAACCAGACAAGTACCAACTTCACCTTCATGAATCGTGTGTCCTTTCCCTCAAGTTTGCTAATGCTGGCAAGTGGTTCGTGTCGACTGGCAAGGACAACTTGCTTAATGCTTGGCGTACGCCCTACGGTGCCTCTATATTCCAGGTATGTAATTATCACTAATATACATGTATGGTATACTTTGTCAATTGTCCTTTTACGTAGGTAAATATTGATCTTAAATATTCAAATTTTATCATTCACCAAATACATTTAACTCATGTTATGTACCGAGATGGACACACAATAACACGTTGGTTTCTTGTCCTACAGTCAAAGGAATCGTCGTCAGTGTTGAGCTGTGACATCTCCGCTGACGACAAGTACATTGTGACGGGGTCTGGTGATAAGAAGGCAACCGTATACGAGGTCATCTACTGAAATGGCAAGACACATAGATAAGCCTGAGTATTGTGAGCATTGCTTGTCAATTTGTGCCATGGACAAGCTGAATATCATCAGACATTGAGGATACACAAGTTGAGGCCAAGAGGACAAAGTGGCTCACAGCACAGGCGTTGCTGCAAGACACGAGCATATACAGAACCCCCAGGTGATAGTATCTGTATTGCTTATGTTTAGGGTCAAACAAAGTATGTGATGGAAGGACAAGTTGGTGCAAGAAACTGAATCTGTTATTGGTCATGTGACCAGCAGCAGGATTAGAAACCTCTCCCTCCAGGGCATCTGTCATCGGTAAAAGCTGCTTTTGCCCCTCGTAGTGGAGTGCAAGTGTTCAATATGGAGGAGGTAGCGACTAGTAGAGGTGTCGAGTGATAGACGGACAGTCTGGTGGATGATTTGGTAGGTTTCTTCAGTTACCTATTTTGGTTGTCCTTGTCCATTTGAGCCATTTTTGGTTCTGTAGCTGATTTGTCTCGATTAATGAGAGACTACTTGTAAAGTATTATTATTATTGTCAAGGTCTTGCTCATTAAAAAGACAGCGGATAGTTGTCAATTTATTAACTTGACCGAGGCTGTGAGAGCTAAGGTGGCATTCCTGACTTGAGTTGTGGCTGGCGTGTGTTAACACTGGCTCATTAACTACAAGCCAGCCCCCATGTCTTTGCTGCCATGTGCAGTGTGAGGTGCAGCACTTGTGAAACACTAGGGCTTGAAAGGCTTGCAGTTTCCCGCACTCGGCATTCACTCCTCGTGGATGGTGCTGCATAATATGGTTTTAGACAGTAGTTTAATCATGGGCATCAGTTTTATTTATATATTAAAAATTGTTCACACGGATAAGAGTGTAACATTTTCACGATGCAAGAATATTGGTTTAATAATTTGAAGCATTCAGTATTGAAAAATGTTGAAATGAGAATGGCAGCTTTCTAATATTCTCTTCATTCCTTACCTGTTAAATTTCTCCTTATTTATCAGTATTTATGCATTCTGTCGGTATTGAGTTACAAGCGAGTGGTTGCACTCGTGAGTGTGAAGTATAATGCAGGCGCAGCACGCTAGATGATTATTTTTGTGCTCCTTTGTTAATGATTTAGGCACGGACATCACACTACGAAATATAGTCTTGTGCCTGAAGCATTAACAAGCAAAATACCTCAATTATGAAAAGGTTTACTTTTATGGTCTGACCTTGAAAACCTTTTTATTGGGATGGGGAGGAATTGATAATAGTATTAATGAACATATCAGGAGTTTGGAGTATTGTGCTGGGCCTGGTACAGTGGCTGTTGCTACAGCATCAGTGGTGTGGTCCTCGTGATTGGTGGAGGAATAGGATGCTGTTCTTGACCTATTTATATTCCAGTATTATCTTTGTTTTAATGAAAGTGATGGAGACATGCCATAGATTGGGTACGTCAGTAGTCCTGTAAAGCACCAAATCAACGTCTTGTTTCATATTTAGTGGTGTTTACCCCCATCCCCCAGTGGCCTTGCGTTGTCAGGTAAGGATATCATCTGTGTCTTGAAGCTCAGGCCTTACACAACATTATCATGCCTCGATAAAATCACTTGAGCTGCATAATAATATTTTCAACTTATAGCATTGTTATACCTGACCCGCTATAGTGTTGCCCAAGATGCTGTGTTAATGCCGAACAATGCCCAGGAAATATTTTATGCCTTGCATCATTTTGTTGGTCTAGTTGGTTGTCTCAAATGATAGTCATGTGAGGAAAGGCATTATCTTAATCTTAATGCTGAGCACATGTTGGAGAGTAAGAAAGATGTTAATTATTTGAATACAAAATACATGTTCCTGTGAACGTTTGGCCATAAGATTGGGGGTATGTTGGCAGCGTCTACGCGGACTGACACCACCAATCTATTGTATTGCATGTAACAGCACAGCGGAAGACAGTCCACAACATGGTCACCAAATGGTCACAAGAACAGTATCGTTAATTCAAATATTGAATGAGATTATTGAAATCCGTACATGATAGACAAGAGGTGCACTGTCCTAAGCGCAAGGGAAGGGTTGGGATGGTGCGGGTAACAGTATGTCACATCAAGATGCATTCAGGTCGCACTAAGTGCACACCACATGCCAACATTATTAAAGCAGCTGCTGCCACGCAAGTCTTACGCGTTTACAGCCTTTCAGTTTTCTCGATGAACATATTTTCACGGCTATTTTATTTTAACCTATGACTATTTTAACTTATTTTTGCCAGTTTTACAGTGTATGCATTTGTGTGATGCATGCGACCTGGGTTTGGGCATCTGTGGGTGACTGATTAAATGTGAAACTCTTCTTGTTAAATATAATTATGACAAAAGTACAAAACCTAGTTATGTTCAGTAGGTGACTGCATTACTAAGGTGGAAAGGGTTTAAGTGTCATTATTTTGTGTGGATGGTTAAAGAATGTGTTTTTGAGCATTATTAAACTGTTAAGAATAAAAAATACTGATTGTTGCAATGTTAGAAAGGTAGAGAAAATATTGATCATTTTAGTTGCGTTGAAAAATATGGCAAGGTGAGAGACATTGCTTATTCATTGCAGTCATTGGAGACCAGTTGGCAAGTGGCGAGTTTCCGGCTAGGAATGACTCTTTGCAATATGTTCATGATGACAAGACAGTTGAGAAAGGGGGTCCTAACCACACTTGACATGCGCATGTATTGCTTGTGGTGTGAGCGAGACACGAGCTCCCACGGTGACATGTTATCTAGCCACATCTCCCCCCCCCACCCCAGACTGAAAATTAGGGTGCCTTGACAAAGGCTCTGAATTAGCTTATGCCTGAGAAGTATTAACAGTAAGGGAGAGATGGAGTAACATGTGACCCATCCACAGTGCCCGCTGGATATGGCTCCAAGCTTATTTTTGTATTTTTTATTATGGTGAAGTATTTTGTCTTGTGTATCTGGCTGGAAAACTTATTTTTAATAAAACGTGTTATATACGTAATTATCTAGAGTTCCAACACGCTGCAGAAGACAAATACCTTCACTTGCACTATGTGTATTGACTCTGGATTTGGTCAACAAAAACTGTTATTTTGAGTGGTCTTTACCACCTAGATTCGTGGCATTACTCCATACGAGAGTTTATCTTTAATTCGTTGAAGGTATTTTATCAAGAAATGCCTCGAGATTTGTTGACCACTTCCAGTGATTAATGAAAATTCCTTTTATTTTGTTCCACTAGTGTAAGGCCAAATGTACACTCTTAAGGCCTTGTGTCTTGCTTATTACGGCTCAAGAGTATAATAAAGCTGCCTTTGACCAGTGATTTGACGGACGTGGAAATATTGCACTTGAACTTGTACAAAAATGGTGGTTGATATATTATACTGGATGGCTGTTGGATATCTTAATACGAATGTTGGGTGCTATATTGAGAAGAGTGGACGATGTGATAAAAAAACGGTCTTGTGGAGGTCCTGCCTCCTCGTGATACTTGTAAAGCTGGTCGAGTCATACCAGATCTACTGTGGCAAAGCCACCTGTGAACCACTGGTGGGCCAAGCCACGTGTGTGCCATTTGTGGACACTTGATTGCTCGACAGTTACCACATAACGCTTTGTTACGAGGAATCTTGTGGCAGAGTTTGGATTTACAAAACGGGTATTTAAATAAACGGTAGTATTTCTCTAATGGAATTCCTCATAGACTCAGATGCACACACTTTTTTTTTTTTTTTTTTTACGGCACTGCGAGTAAGGATGGCCCACAAAACACTACCTCAGGTTTACGAGAATGAGCCTAGTGGAGGTATGGGTTAATGGTCATTTTATCTTGTAGCTGTTATCTTCAAGGCATTATTTAGGCAAACCTAAAACTCCAGGCTGTAGACAGCTTCAGGTAATGTGTTCTCAGGAACACATGTTATTTCCCATGACCATTTAGTTTATAAAAACTTGTCCTAATTAAAAATAAAACTATTTTTTTCCAGCAGAAACCTGATCTCTTTTGTAATAATCCTTTTGTAATAGTTGAAACAAAATACTTAAGGCGTAGTGATATTATTTGTGTATTTTTGTGAGGTGTTGAGTTGTGGGGATGTGATGTGTGACATGACAGTGTGGCCAAGATCCCAGGCGAGCCTTCATCTCCAGGGGCTTGTGTTCCTTTGTCGTTGTTCCCTCACCCAGCTGATGGCGGGATTTCAAATTACATGCAACATTCAATATTGTGACATGGGTGTTTACAACAGCTGAGAGGGGTATAGGCTATGGCATCAACATGGAAGTCAGTACCCAAACACATGAGGATTCTTTTTTTTCTCTATATTAGAGGACAAATAATCCATGGGTACAGATTTTTGTTTTTTTCTTTGGTGGGAGGGGGTACTTTTGTATTGATGGTGCTTTAAGCCACCAGTGTAGTTTAACAGTCGAGGAAAAGTTGACTTGTTAATGAGGAAATCATAGAAAAATGTGATTTCATAGTTGCCATAGTTGGCCAGTCCCAGCTGTGTACACAACTCGTCTACATCAAGTCTCGCAGAAGTGTACAATTAGTGAATGTATTATGCCCTCTCCACACTGAATAGTGCAACACCACTGTGTAAGAGATTTGCAGTAAAACAGTAAAATAAAAATGTTTTTTATATCCCTTAATATTATGACAAATGAAATAATTCTCTTTAATCAGATTTACATGATCTCGGGTCTGGCTTATAATTTCAAAGGTTGCCAATGTTCTCTGGTGATATCACCTTCCTTCTACCCTTCATATGGCCTACCAGTGTTAAATTCTCATTCTTTGTAAGATATCTTTAATACAGTATATCCCATCTCCCTAATGGCTCTGGCGAGTTAAGAAGTCCGTCGTGGGAGGTCATAAGTACCAGGTTAAACCTTCTCTATGGCTGCCACTTTGCCATTCCTACCAGCAAGTCATAAGATATAAAAATTGTATACTTAATATACAATAATATAAAACAGGCCACTGGAAATAGTAAATATAACTATAATAAATGATTTACAGTCTACCACATTTTTACCAAAATATTCACAATATGTACATCATAAAGTTGCAACATTTACTGTTATAATGTGATATACTAAATGTGCTCCTCTTTGGTCATTATGTACTACATTTACACGCTTAGTGAATTGTGACACTGTTGGCCGACTTGGACTATGAGATCAAGGATACAATTGTAATGTGGCAGCCGAGTGGATTAATGTAATGTTTATATTTTATTACCAAACAAAACACTACCTTGAGGCTACCTTGAGGTGCTTCCGGGCTTAGTGTCCCCGCGGCCCGGTCGTCGACCAGGCCTCCTGGTTGCTGGACTGATCAACCAGGCTGTTAGACGCGGCTGCTCGCAGCCTGACGTATGAGTCACAGCCTGGTTGATCAGGTATCCTTTGGAGGTGCTTATCCAGTTCTCTCTTGAACACTGTGAGGGGTTTGCCAGTTATGCCCCTTATGTGTAGTGGAAGCGTGTTGAACAGTCTCGGGCCTCTGATGTTGATAGAGTTCTCTCTCAGAGTACCTGTTGCACCTCTGCTTTTCAACGGGGGTATTCTGCACATCCTGCCATGTCTTCTGGTCTCATGTGGTGTTATTTCTGTGTGCAGGTTTGGGACCAGCCCCTCAATTATTTTCCACGTGTAAATTATTATGTATCTCTCCCGCCTGCGCTCAAGGGAGTACAGATTTAGGCTCTTTAGTCGGTCCCAGTAATTTAGATGTTTTACTGAGTGGATTCTAGCAGTAAAGGATCTCTGCACGCTCTCTAGGTCAGCAATTTCTCCAGCTTTGAAAGGGGCTGTCATTGTGCAGCAGTACTCCACTCTAGATAGCACAAGCGTTTTGAAAAGTATCATCATCGGTATAGCATCTCTAGTGTGAAAAGTTCTTGTTATCCAACCTGTCATTTTTCTTGCAGTTGTGACGGCTACTTTATTGTGTTCTTTAAAGGTAAGGTCTTCCGACATGAGTACACCCAGGTCCTTTACATTGCCTTTTCGTTCTATGTTATGATTTGCCTGCGTTTTGTACGTGGTTTCTGTTTTTATATTTTCAATTTTTCCGTAGCGCATGAGCTGAAACTTATCCTCGTTGAATACCATATTATTTTCTGTAGCCCATAGAAAGACCTGATCTACATCTGATTGGAGGTTTGCCGTGTCCTCTATGTTGCCAACTCTCATGAAAATCCTAGTGTCATCTGCAAAGGATGATACAGTGCTATAGGTTGTGTTCTGGTCTATGTCCGATATGAGGATGAGAAAAAGTACTGGAGCAAGCACAGTACCCTGGGGGACTGAGCTCTTCACGGTTGATGGGCTGGATTTTATTTTGTTGACTATTACACATTGGGTTCTGTCAGTCAGGAAATTGTAGATCCATCTGCCTATTTTCCCGGTAATTCCTTTTGAACGCATTTTATGTGCAATAACACCATGGTCACATTTATCAAAAGCTTTTGCGAAATCTGTGTAAATTACATCAGCGTTTTGTTTGTCTTCCATAGCATCTAATGCCATATCATAGTGGTCCAGCAACTGCGACAGGCAAGAGCGCCCTGTTCTGAAACCATGTTGTCCGGGGTTATGGAGATGCTGTGATTCCATGTATTTTGTGATCTTACTTCTTAGCACTCTCTCAAAAATTTTTATGATGTGCGATGTTAGTGCTATCGGTCTGTAATTTTTTGCCTCTGCCTTATTTCCTCCTTTATGGAGTGGTGCTATCTCTGCTGTTTTTAGTATGTCAGGGATAACGCCAGTATCTAGACTTTGTCTCCACAGAATGTGAAGGGCCTGCGATAGTGGTTTTTTACAGTTCTTGATGAATATGGAGTTCCAAGAATCCGGGCCTGGTGCAGAGTGCATAGGCATACTGTTTATGGCTTCTTCAAAATCTAGTGGGGATAGGGCGACGTCTGATATGTGATTTGATGTTGGTATCATATCCATGAAAAATTCATTTGGGTTATCAATCTTTAGTGCATTTAATGGCTCACTGAAAACAGAGTCGTACTGCTTCCTCAGTAACTCGCTCATTTCTTTGTTGTCATCTGTGAAAGTTCCATCTCCCTTTCGCAGGGGCCCGATACTAGATGTGGTTTTTGATCTTGATTTTGCATAGGAGAAAAAATATTTCGGATTTCTCTCTATTTCACTGATGGCCTTTTGCTCTCTTTGCCTCTCCTGGGTTTTGTATGATTCTTGTAGCTTGAGTTCAATTGTTTCTATTTCTCTACCTAACCTTCTTCGCCGTTCTTGAGATAGGGTGCGACTCTCAAGTTGTTCCGCGATTCGTTTTCTTCGCCTATATAGGGAACGACGTTCCCGTTCCAATCTGCATCTCTTTCTCTTTTTTCTTAGGGGTATGCGGTTTGAACATATTTCTAGTGCTACTGAGCTTATTTTTTCCAGGCACTGGTTCAGGTTTGCATTTCCTAGCTGTTCTTCCCAGTTTATTTCTGTGAAGTCCTGGTTTATTTGCTCCCAGTTTATCCGTTTATTATTGAAGTTGAATTTGCTGAAATCTCCTCCACCGGGAATCTGGACTGGTTTTGAAGGTCCATTTCCCATGGTTGTCAGAACTTCAATTAAGTTGTGATCTGAGTAACAGGTATTTGTAATCATTATGTTCCCGATCAACTCATCATTATTAGTGAAAATGAGGTCCAGCGTGTTCTCCTTCCTAGTTGGTTCTACTATTTGCTGGTTTAAGGCAAACCTATCGCACATCCGTAGCAGGTCATTTGCATGTGCCTGCTCATTTAGGCTACTTCCTGGTATTCTTTCTGATATTACTGTATTAGCCAGGTGCTTCCATTTCAGGTGCCGTAGGTTGAAGTCCCCAAGCAGGATGATGTTCGGAGCTGGATTTGTGAGGTTTTCCAAGCAGTGCTCTATTTTCATTAGTTGGTCTTTAAACTGCTGAGGGTTTGCCTCCGGTGACTTATATACAAGGACAACAACTACATTTAGGATCTCTATTTTGACTATCAGCACTTCCACCATATCATTTGAGGTGTTTAGCAGCTCAGTACAGATGAGTGTGTCTTTGATGTAGAGGCTGACCCCACCCTGAAGCCGGTGTTTCCTATCACATCTGAAGAGATTGTATTCTGGGATCCATATTTCACCATCAAGGTAGTCCTTTGTGTGAGTTTCCGTTAGGGCTGCAAACACTGCATTTGCCTCATGAAGGAGACCATCTATAAAATGAACTTTGTTGGATTTGCGTGTTTTTATACCCTGGATGTTGGCAAATATAAATGATGTTATCGTGTTAGTGGAAGTGCTGGATGCTTTAATTGGTGTTAATATCTGAGGCTCTGGTAAGGAGGCCACTGTGTTTGCGTCCTCTCTAGCATTTGACCAGTTGGTGGTAGAGTCTGGTCATTTTTAGCCATTCTTCTCCTCCTCCTCTTGCTAAAAAATTATCCCGGTTGATGGAGTAGTGGCTGTTTTCATAGTGGTAGTCTGTCGGTTTTATTCGCCTGGTACCTCTTATATGAAAAGCTGGGCATTCAGCATTGAAGCACTCTTTCCTGTCCAAAGAGTTCTTGCAAATTTCTGGGTGAAAGAATTCACAGCTTTTGGTACATTTACCTGTATTGAGGAGATTTCTGCACTTTCTAGGGTGATCGTGTGTACATGTTCCATTTATTCTTCCCGATTCCCCATGCTTACAGGTAGCCCATCTGTAATACCAACAGATTTTGGGGCCTTGTTTTGTTTGTTTCCCTCTGCCAGGGACCGCACTCTGCTGCGGCGCCCCCGACACTGTGCCCTGCTCCGGTGCCTGTGACACTGTGCCCTGCTCCGGTGCCTGTGACACCGCGCTCTGCTCCGGTGCCTGTGACACCGCGCTCTGCTCCGGTGCCTGCGACACCGCGCACTGCTCAGGGGTCCCCGACTCCGTGCCCTGCTCAGGCATCCCCGACTCCGCGCCCTGCTCAGGCATCCCCGACTCCGTGCCCTGCTCAGGCATCCCCGACTCCGTGCCCTGCTCAGGCATCCCCGACTCCGTGCCCTGCTCAGGCATCCCCGACTCCGCGCCCTGCTCAGGCATCCCCGACTCCGTGCCCTGCTCAGGCATCCCCGACTCCGCGCCCTGCTCAGGCGCCGCTGCCACAGAGCTCTGTGCTACAGCTGGTTGTACCTTGGTGTCATGTACAGTTTGTTTGAAGACATTAGACTCCTAGTATTAGACTCCTAGTATTCATAAGACTCCTAGTATTATAATTCCCAAGTTGCCTAGTACTACAATATTCATCCCCTATTGCTACAACACCATACACCCCTATTACTATGATATCCAAAATCTAGTACTACAATGTGGATGTCCCTTAGCATTACAATATTAAAGTCCCCTAATACAGTACTTTATTATGAAAAGTAAAAATTACCACACTGAAACAAAAACTGGCAGCCCTTGGGTCTCTGCTGGAGGCCAATTCCTTGAGAAATCCAAGGCACTCCTACCCCAGGGGCCATGCATTGCTACAAAGATAATACAACAAAGTTGTATTGACCTCGAGGAGGCCTAGTCGACGACCTAGGTCTCAAGGCAGTGGGGATGCCAAGCCCCGGAAACACTCGAAGGTAACCTTCCAAACGCTTG